CCAGCCTGGGTGAGGGGATGATGGCTGTTTGCAGCTGGTCACACACCCTTCAGGGTTGGGGTCCCCACTGGGGTGCCTGGCCAGCCTGGGTGAGGGGGCTGAGGGCTGTTTGCAGCTGGTCACACGCCCTTCAGGGTGGAGGTCCCCACTGGGGTTCCTGGCCAGTCTGGGTGGGGGGCTGAGGGCTGTTTTACGGGTGACGAAGCTCCCAACTGCTCCTTTTTTTTCTTTTTTTTTTATTCTGAGCCAGCTTTAGCTCTGAGGCTTGGCTCCAACTCTAAAGCCTCCGCTGCTGAAAGCAGGTATCTGGTTTGTTTGGGTTCTATAATGGAAACACTGTTTCAACTCCAGCTCTGAGATCCCGGCTGGCTGAAAGCAGGTTTCTAGAGTTTGTTTAGATTCTATATTTGTAACAATGGTTCAAACTGCAAGCTCAGAGCCTGGCAAGGCAGGCGGGGAACATTGGAGTCCATCACTGAAGCAAGCAAGCCTCATGTTCGCTTCAAGCTGCCTGGCTGCCGGCCACCATCTTAGCTGGCAGTTAATTTGCATATCGCCCTGATTAGCCAATGGGAAGGGTAGCGGATGTATGGCTAATTACCATGTTTCTCTTTTATTAGATAGGATTTTCTAATGTCCTTTCTAACTTCCTGGATTGGTTGCCTATATATTTATCTTTGTGCTGAAGTCTATATATGACAAAGATATGAGTGTCCCAATACAACATTTTTTTTTCACTCCAGCTGCTCAGCCAGGAGTGGGAATATAAAATAGTTTGACCCAGGAAGTAATCATAAAGTAAAATTGCTGAGTAAGAAAATGTTGAGGTATAACTGACTTTCCCACCAATAATTTTTAAAAAAGAGAGAGAAAGGACTTATCTTCCCACATCTGTATCTACTGATTAGGGAGAGAAATATTTACCAGAAGGCTTGAGCCAACTTCCTTCATGTCAGAATGTCTTCCTGGCCACCCTGAGTGACCAAGAAGCTGGGAAAAGAAGTATCAGGCAAATGAGATTATGATGATCAAGACTGGCTTACCCCATGATGTATCTGTATTACAAGCAGATCAAAGTCAGATGCGCTAATAAGGAAGCAGGGGTTATAGCTATTGAAGGGGTAACCAACAGTTCCTGCCATGAGCATTTTAAACAAAACAATCTGCCTTCTGGAAAGTAGGAATTTACAAGCTAATAACATGATATTTGGGCATGAACACATTTCTAATGACAGCAAAGCTCTGATTTGGCAGTTTCAGAAGGGAGGGCTTAGCTCAAATTCCCTCTTCAAGTTCACAGCATACTCTGGGTTCTGAGCTTGGCAAGGAAGATGGATCATCACTTGCCAAAGCAGAAGGAGCGGATGATTCAGAACCACTATGATGTGTGATTTTCACTGTGAGAACTGGCAAAGGAAGATGGTGAAATACAACTCTTGGTCCTCCCAACAGCTTCAGGAAACAAAGAACATTTCCTCATTCACT